AAAGCAGCCATGATGGCTCCTGTAACTCCTGCTTATATGTTGCAGATTGTAGCTGTTAAAGTCAGCAAAGAGCAGAAAAGCATCAGAAGCAGCAGCAGGTCAGCTGATCACAGCCTGAACACAAACAAAACAAATCTGCAATACTGATTATTATGGGACTCATTTCTAAGACACTCAGATGGAAACTGCTCGATCCGCCATTTTGTGTCTTACAGACACATAGATAGATAGAACAGCAGGCAGCCAGAAAAAAAGTGTGAAGCACCAAAAAGAGGCGATTACAAATGAGTATAAATAAAATAATGTCTTTAAAAGTGAATTTAATATGCATAATATACAAGCAAAAGACTTTATTAGACTCTGAGTGACTCCACCCAGTCTCTTCACATACGAACAAACTGAACTCATATGATAACGACTCTACTGCAAACTGTTTATCACACAAGAAAATATTGTTTGGTTTATAACAGTAAATTATAAAAGCTCACCTGCAGAGACAAACAAAACAAACAGCGAAGTCGAGAACACCAATGCAGTCACAGCAAACATTTCCGTGTTGTTTTCGCTGCTCTGATTTAGTTTGTTCTAAATGTCTGAGTCTGTTGGTATTTTCACTGAATAGCAGAACCTGGGTTTAAAATCTAACTATATTAGTTTAAATTTTAGTTTAAAATGTAAAAAAAAAGTTTTCTTTCAACCAGCCGGACGTGCCCCACTTCTAAACACAGAAGCAGCGTCAGAATGACATAATGACGGGGCGCAGCGTAGGACATTTGCATAAGCGATATAGTTGAAAGAAAGTTTTAGTGTTCAGATCTTGATCCACAGAACTAATCAGAACCTCTCATGTGTCAGTCGTCATGTATGAACAGTTTGTGTTTCAGTCTTTGAAGCAGATGTTTGTTTCTGACAGTAAGTTTCAGGCTCACAGCTTTGTAGCTGACACACACATTACACTTCTTTGCCTCTGTCACAGCTGGATTACACCAACAGACATTAGGTCCACACAGACCCCACCCAGGCTTGTGTCTCCTTCACACACACACAAACTGAATCAATATGAAAATAAGTCTTTGAGGAATATTATTCATTATTTAATCAGAGTGACGCTCATCTCAGTTGATCTGACTCTTAGTTTCATCTAAAAGTCTGACTCTGTTTCACTGAATAACTAAACCTAAGTTTAAGCCAGACTAGGTGAGATTAAATTTAAGGTTTAAATAAAGCTGAAATTTTTGTCTTTCAGCCGCTCATTCAAAGTCAACACAACACGCATTAACGTGACGTGCAGAGTGACGTGTCTGAGTGCATCTATTGTTAAATTCTTATTCTATATTATTCTATAAAAAATCAGGTCAGAGTGTTTACCAGGTTCAGTTGTTATCTCCACAGAACAACACTAATTTTGTAAACCAGTAAAGTGAAGCTTCATCCTGGATCAGCTGGATTAAGATTAACAGACTTTTGTCAACCTGTTAGATTACCTAGATGTAAGTAAATAAGTACATTTGATTTTTGTTGCAAATAGAAAACCAAAGTGCTTATAATTTAATTAAAATACAATAAATAGTTTCCTAAAAAATATGCTTTTGAAGCTTTTAGTCTGGAGATAGTTCTGAAGGCTCAAAAACGTCATTTTAACACTTACTGTCGTTCTGATGGCATCTGTGAAACCCTCAAAGAGTCTTCTGATTGTCATGATAAAAAATTATTCACAAAGATAAAACGTTTAAGGTCAGTATCCACCTGTCTTCTTTTTCAGTGGGTCAAATGGAACCTCATTAAATTGTATTCCAGTCAAGAAAAAAGGTAAAAAGTTCATGAGTTAAGAGTCAAAAGATAAAACATAAATTAAAAATCTAAAGGTAAAGTGGATGTTACCACATTACCTTACTGCCACATAACAGGAAATGCACCTGTAGTTCCCTGTAGCTCGTTTTATGTCACAACATGGACCTGTGACAGGTTAGTAGCCACACCTGCTTGATTCCTTCTATATATATATATACAGATAAAATATACAAAGGGGATAAATAGAATAAATAGGAATAAAAATAAAAATACAAGTGAATTGCACATTTCAAGTATGGAGTCTATTGCACTGTTGACTATTAACAAAAAGTATTGCACAAATGGAGATTCTCATGAAGATTAAAACAGTCTGTTAGCGATGTTTCATAATAACCAATAAAATGTTGGCTGGTTTTCAGAAGTAGTAACTGATTTTCCATCAGCACCATGTGGGTGGAAAAGAAGTGTGTGTGTGTGTATCCTGGTCAAACTGGTTCAACCTCAGTGAAGCAAAAGCTTTTCAAATGCTTCTTATAGCTTGTACATCTGCAAGTCCACTAGTGTGTGCTGGACTGCAGATTTCAAAGTAGTATCGCAGGACAGGTGAGTGGGCCATAGTGCCTGCAGCTGTTTCCAGACCGGTAAACGGGTAAAACTTTTTCTTTCAAGGAAAGACTTCCTGATGATCAGTTAACCAACTGCAATAGATTAACAGCACTTGGCTGTTCCTTACTCCCTACAGTTTTTAAGGAAGCACTTATCTTTTCACACATTGGTTCTGCAGTTTGCAGGCCCCCTCTCTTATACGCTCTATAACACCTGAAACTGCCCCTCAATTCTCAGCTGCCTTTGCTGCATCTCCTCAAGCCACCTTTGATGTCATGGTTCTTGGTCATTCTGACCCAGCATTTTCAGTTTCTTATGCTTTTGGTATTCTTCTGTATTATAATTTATGTTGATTCTTTAGCCTATCTATCTATCCATCTATCTATCTATCCATCCATCTATCTATCTATCTATCTATCTATCTATCTATCTATCTATCTATC